CTTCTCTAATTTCTGACACTGCGGGCGCAGACGCCGCTCGGCCACTTGGCCAGATCAGACGACACTCGGGCAAGAGCTGCGGCCCACGCCGACTCACAGCACACGGCTCCCGAGGCCGGGTGTGGCCCGGGGACGCTCGCCCACATGCACAACGCCGTGACCCCGCCGGTGCGGCCCAGGGCTCCCGGCACAACCACCGTTCCCGGTGATTCTTTGCGGGGGGCGCCGCCGCTCCCTGGCTGTCCCAGTTTAGGACCAGCGAGGTACAGCTAGCACGGACGGTCCTGGGACCGCGGTCTGTGAGCCTCCGAGGGCTCTGCGCCCCTCTCTGCCAGAGGCACCTGGCGTCTGCGCGGGGCCCTGTCCGTCCTGACCCCACCAGCGCAGCCGGCAGGTCCTGCCTACTGCCCTCTGACACGCCTGCGCCCACCCGCTTAGCACTGCACAGCCTGACCCCCGGACCAGTCCTCCTGGTCAAGCCCACTGTCCAGGGCCGGACCACACGCCACTGAGGCCACCCCTGCCTCCGACCCCACTCAGAGCCTGCAGCCCGGCCAGCCCCCTCGGCAGGGCCTGTGTGAGCCGGGGGGCCCCTGCCCTGGGGCCCCTGCGGAGCTGCCCGCGCCCCCCGCTGCTGTTTTCAGCACACCTTACAGGCATGGGTGCGCTCTGTCCCTACAGCGACACTCGGAGACAAAGCAGGTGCTGGGGTCCCCCCATACACTGTGCAGTGAGGCTGGGTGGGGCGGGGAGCGATGCCTGGGTGGCACAGCGTGGCACAGGGCAGACGCAGACCAGTCATCACCAGCAGACAAGGGGTGAGCCAGTGGGTCTTCTTAATGGCAAATTACAGCAGGCAGGGAAGGGGGAGACATGTGGGGAGACCCTCGGGTCTGCAGGAGGGGTCGCTTGAGGGCGTGGTCACCACAGAAACTCCTCCGCTCTGGACACAGAGGACAATGCAAGGGGCGTCCAGCCGCTTCCGGGGAAGGCGGCTGAAGGACCACCCTGGAGCTTCGCGGTCAGGCACAACGGTATCAAGGAGGCGAGAGGCCGTCGGGTCGGCTGAATCAGGTTCCGTGAAAAAGTCCATGGTGCCGTATGCCGGCAAGGAAGGGCTGGGTGGGGAGGAAGCGCAGGGCCTCGGCGGCGCTCAGCGTTCATACATAGGACAGGAAGTGTCGGGACGGAGCAGGGACGCTCAGAGAGCCTGCGCAGAGCCGGCTGCAGGTACCGACTCTGAAGGTGGCCTCCCCCTGGGGCACCTGTGAACTCCACCAGGGCTGGCCAGCTGGGTACCTTACCGGGTGGAGCAGCCACCTCTGTGTAGTTCATAGCTTCCCAGGTACCCCGAAAGCACCTTGCTGCTCGGAGTCAGTGTGAAGGGAGCACCCAGGAGACGCGGCTCAGCCACGAATGGGCCAACGCAGCAGCGACCCAGTGCCAGGCAGGAGCCCACGCTCACACAGCCACACAAAGACAAGCCGCCTACCCCGCCGTGAAGGGCAAGGAGACCCAGGGAGGGGCACCTCGGAAAGCCCACCTCTGAATGAAGATGAGGGACCATAATAAACACTGCTGGGGACTTCCCCTGGATGCCGTAATGTCTCCCCGGCCTTATTCATGCATTCAAAGGAATCCCAATTAAAATACAAGCTGCACTACAAGTAAAAGTTCCAGCATTAGGAATCAATGTGTGCAGTTACCACATTCAGCGCACCACTGAAGTTCAAGATTACTGTGCAATGTTACTTGCTCTAAAACAAATCAGAGAAATAAAAGATCCCCAAGCTGTTTTTTTCTGTCACATGGGAGAGGCGCCATCGAGCTAATGCTGCCACAGCCCAGAAGGGGGGTCCCGGAATTAGAGGGGGGTATGAAAGCGTGTTGACAACAGCAGCACCGAGCTGCGGCACAGTCACGTTCGCAACTCTGTGTTTAGGGTGGCGTTTCCAGCCGTGTCCCCATTCATGACGTGACGGAAGGAAAGGAGATTCTGACGCCCTCACATTCACTAGAGAAACGGTAGTTACAAAGGTTAAGTGAATGAAACTAAAGACATCAGCCGACAAAAAGAGGTTTGCAGCCAAGAGGGTCTTGCAAAACAGAACCAAGCCCCGGAGCTGTAAATGAAACGACAGACTGGGCCACAGTAAAGTTGAGTGTTTCTACATAAATCTAAGCCCCTGACTTGGCTACCTAAAGACCCTCGACCTACAAAAACATCAAATAGTGCAAGGAAAAACTGAGCGCTGGCAATGATCCAACAGTTCATAGTACAAACCACACTGCCACTAAGTGTCTCTCGCCGGGAACGTCCACTGCGGACATTCCCACAAAGTAAGAATCAACAATGCTACAGAAACCGCGCGTGGCGAGACAGTAAGACGCAGCTGTTGCCAAGGAAGGCTGTGAGGACTGCGAGTACCCGGAGCGTGCCGGGGGTACTTTGCCAGTGTCCATTAAGCTGAAGTACTTGGCACCCGCCTGGCCACGACGCCTCGGCAGCCGGCTCTGGGCAGGGCAGCTCGTGGGCTACCTGTGCTGAGAACAGAAAGCGCCAGCAGGGCCTGCTGTCCCCAGGGCAGAGGGTGCAAGAGGAACCAGTGTCTGAGTCGCGTTCAAAGTGAACGGGAGCACGCAGAGGCCCAGGCGAATGCTCCAAGGGTCAGAGGCCCCGCGCTTTGGTCCCGAACTCCCCGCAGGCAGCAGGGTGGCGCGGGGCCTCTGAGGGTGCTCATCAGCCTGCACGACTTGTGGCGAGGCTGCATCTGTCGGCCGGCGCACGGACAATAAGCACCAGAAAGAGATGATGAAAGATTGAAAATCGTGAAAAATAAGCCCCACTCCTAGATGATAAAGCGCTTCATAAATTGTGTGCTGATATTCTTCATGCTGACAAAAGAGAAACGTGAAATGAAGAAGTTCGAAAAGAAATGAAGGCGCAGGCGCCTGCGTTGCATCTAGTAAGAGGGGTCCTGCGGGGCTGACTCTCTTCAAAGGCAAAGAAAGGGGGCGTAGGGGAGGTGTCAGGTTCGTTACCTGATGACACAACTTGGGGCTGGGCCACCCGCCGGGTTCACGCAGATTCTGCGGCGCCTTCTCAGCGACCAAACCAACCCAGAAAGCCGGCACGCTCTTTGTGTCTTGGCTATTTCTACCAGAATTCACTAAAGTCAACTATGCAGCAGGAGTGGAAGAAGCATCTTCGGCAGGGACACGTCCGGAAGCGAGAGTGACCGATACCAGCCGCTTTCAAGCAGGCCAGGCCAGTCAGCGCTGACCGCACACTCTTGGTGCAAGCGCGGAGGGGTTGGGCTGACAGTGACCGGCCTCGGGTCTGTCACTGGGTAAAGGTCACTCAGCAGCACCAAGCTGGAACTGGGAGAACCTGCCGGCTCACCCCGCTGTGCAGGCTGAGATCTGCGGGGACCGGCTGGGGCCTCTGGGCGGTCGCGCTAACCAGACGCCCGCCCGGGGCCCCACTGGTCCCTCCGACTCAGCACTGTCTCTCTGAACAGCTCCATCGCCTTCCTCGCTAAACTGAGCAAACAGCCGGCAGGCACGATCTTCTGTCCCGCGTCCCAAAAGTACCTACTGTAAATCCCATTCCCACACCTTCGATGGGACACTAATTACGCTGGAGGGTTAGAAACAGAAGGTGCTGGCTCAGGCCAGCCATTTGTTTTAACATGGTTTCAACAAAGGGAATGTCTCTCCCTTCTCTTACCTGTAGCTCAAAGTTGGCTTGATCCAGAAATTTTTTGTTCAGCATATCTGCATACTGATTAATCGCTCGCAGGAACACTCTGCAAGATCAGAAGAAAATGACACAATCACACACTTGTGCGCTGGCACGTTCGGAGGCCTGGCATTTCAGTGAGGACACGCACTGAGCCCGTCTGGGAAGTGCACTCGGGGTCCTGTGAAAAGCTGAGAGGTTTCACCAACGCAAGCCCCGAGAATTACATGCAGACGTTCTCCACGTCAATCAAGGGCATTAACACATGCGGAGTAAAAGAAACTGACCGGAGGACGGCATGTGAGAGCAACACAGATGGTACCCCTAAACTATCTAATTAAAGAGAGAGAGGAGAGGTGCAAATTAAGCCCTATTCTCAGGTCACGCTGTTCCTGCCTGATGATGAAACCGGCCTTCGCTTAGGAGAGGTTTTCACAGCTAAGCATTGAAGTGTGGCAGCTCCGGGCTCGGGTGGGCGGGGAGCTGGTGCTGTGGGGGAGGGGGCCGGCGTCCGCTCACGGGTCCTGAGTGCCAGATGCTACTTGGTCACCGTTTACTTGCGTGAGGAAAATGAAACTGCTTTAGCGGACGTGAGAGTGACTGGGCAGCAACTTTAGCAGAAATTTTTAATCCCATGAGTCGTAGTGAATGTCTAATTCTGGGCACCCACGCCAAAGTACCCCCTCTCTCCATTACTCCCCGGCAATGAAGTGTGCACTGACTCCAGAGAGCCTCTCACCAGCTCGTTCATTTGGTAGATTTGTCTACTGCCCTCAAAGTGGTCACAATCCTAAAACGAGGTCCAGACGCTGCTTTGCAAATGACCCTTCTAGCGCTCTCCCGCCGCAGGATGCAGGATGCCGGCCACCGGCGATAAACCTCACCCGACTTCTCTGTATGGGCGGCTGGGCGGCAGGGAGCACTGAGTCTCGGCGACCTGGGTGACCTGGTGCCAGGGCCCAGCGCCTCTGACAACACCGCCCCCAGCTGTGCCTGCCTGGGCACCTCCCGTCCGGCCTCTGGGAGCCTCTAACGGCCAGTGAGCCCGGGGGAGGGGTCTCAGGCAGCCCTCCTGCCACGCCTGTGCCCACACCCACTGCTGGCGCCATCTGCTCCGCCTGGCCCTGCAGGCGGCTCTAAGGCGGGCGTGGCAGGAGAGGTTTCCGCAGCAGCCCCAGCTCTACTAGGGCCGGAGCAGGGGAGGCTGACCCCTGCGCGGTGCCTTCTTGGGCTGAAGAAAACTACAGCCGGAGAGCGCTGGATTTTTCTTGTACCGCTGGAGCTCCCACATCTCTCTACACCCAGAATCAACGTTGGGGTGGCACGCACGGAGCTTGATGCTTGCACAGCAACACCCCCCTAAGTGTCTGAAAGGGCCCTTCACCACCGTGCGCATTCTGAGACGCTCGGGTCTGAGAAGTGGTCAGTTCACACCGATCTCAAGGGCCCCTGAAGGGCAGCGCTCCCCGGGCTGCCTAGCAGCGGAGACCGGAGGGCGACTTCTGTTAAGTGAGGGACTGTGGCTGGGGGCTGGGGGGTGGCCGGTCATCCTGAGAACCAAGCGAGTTCTGCCTTCTTCGCAGTCGAGGGGAGTAAGCAATTCCAAAACACAAGTAACTAAACCAAAGCTAACGGCACGCGAGAATCAAGCGCATCGACTGAAAATGCTGGAGGCGAGTGAACGGGGCACCGCTTCTATTTTCATAGTGCGTTTCAGTCATCTTTAATCTGCAGAGGGTTTGTTTAACATCCAAACATGTAGAAGATAAAAACAAACAGAAAAATCAATAATGCAGAGAACCACTGGCAAATTATGTCCTCCTAAAAAAGATCTAAAAGGCCGTAAGTTGTAAACACACCGTCTCTGCAGCGTCAGACGGCTCAGGCGACGGCTGCCGGTCAGGCCGGGGGAGGACGCGCCTGGTCCCGGCCTCCAGAAGCCAGGCCCCCGCCCGGTCACCTGGATAATGGGCCCGCGGGGCTGAGCACATTCGCCGCAAGGCTCCGACAGCGGCAGCCAGCAGAGAAGGCAGGACGCGGGGAGCCTCTCCCCGCCACGCGCCGAGCGTGACCTGGCGGGCCTGGGGGCGGCTCCTCGCACACAGCCGTGCGTGTGCCCACGTGCCCGCGGGCCCAGGCGCCCACCACAGGCTGCACGCAGCTCTCACGCACGGCCAGGTGCGTCTGCAGCCGCATGACCCCCGGAAGCTGCTCAGGCTTCTCAGGCCTCGTGTTGCCCCCCGGACTTGGCGTGAACGCAGACCTGCCCGCGGTGAGCCAGCAGGGAGCACGGGCAGGCCCCAGCGGGGGCCGGTGTGCCCTGTGGGCTCCAGGCGGACTGAGGAGCGGCCTGTGGGGAGAGGGAGCGCACGCCCCAGGACGCGTAGCCCTCGCAGCCTCCAGGAGACAGGCCGGGCCTGGGGCCGCCCGTAGGCAGCCGCCGGAGGGGCCGCAGGCCCCCTCTCCTTGTTCAGCAGGACGGGGGTGCGGGTCTGCCAGCCCGACAAGCGGCCCTGGCGGGCGGCGAGCGGAAACCGGCTTCGGGCCGGGCGGTTTAGCTGCCACGGCTCCCGGCCCACGGCAGCCACCAGGGGGCCTTGCCCCGAGGGCCCGGGGCCCAGGCTTGCCACGCCGGGGTGCCACCGCAGCTCTGAGGCCCGGGCAGAGCGCGAGGACGGCTCTGAACTTCCCGCAGGGGCCACAGTCCCGCTCCCCACACGTGGGTTCTTCTGCTACCCCCAACCTGGACTTAACGTTAGTGACCGTTCGCATGAAGGCTTTTACAGACCCTCGGCAGGAAAACGAGCGTTGCTGTGGCGGGGAGAAAACCTGCCTCTGTAACAAAATACGCAGCCTGAAATGCTCAGGAAAAAGAAACTAATGAAAACCGACAGATTCTATCCGGGCAGAGCAATGAGTAATGATAGCTGGGAATGCGCCTTAAAAGGGTCTCGCGTGAGGCAGGAATGCGGGGGGGGGGCGCGTCACGGGGGCTGAGGGGGGCAGCGGGGCTTCGCACCAGCCGACAGCCCCCTCCGCGGCGCAGCCCCCCGGAGACGGTGACGAGAGGCATCCGCGGGTCCCTCCCTCCCGCCGCCTGTGCAGGACAAGTGACCCCCAAAGGCCCCGGTGTGGGCGGCCAAGCCGCATGCAAAGCCAGGGCCAGCTGGGAGCTGCCTCCCCCCGGGATCTGCGCCACCGCAGCAAGTCAGTGTCAGGACAAGTCCCGGCAACAGGGCTGGGGGCGCAGGCGGCGGGTGAGGTGGCGGAGCGCCGGGAGGACCCGCACCTGGGCCAGGGCCCGGGACGCGGAGGAGGCACACCGGCCTCGGGAGCAGGAAGCCACGGCCTGCCCTGTCCCAGAAGGGGCCAGGAGTTCCCTTCCTCCCCAGGCGCCCTCGCTTCTTCAAGCAACAAGCCTCCAACGCCCAGCCCTTCCCGGGAGCCCTGACTGCTCGGAGTCCTTCCCTGGCCTGCCTGGGGACAGCAGGCTCCGTCCACGCTGGCCCCGGGAGCACAGGGACCCCAGGACTCGGCTCCGCAGCGAGAGCCTGCAGCGGGTCTCCCGGAGCCGCGCTGGGCCCTGCCTGCTGTCGCCCGCAGGCGGGACGAAGGGGCAGGGGTTCTGGGAGTGACTGTGCCCGTTCCTTAACGCCGGCCTCGAGGCTGGCGAGCCCCGGGGCGGGCGGGGCGAGCGCCAGCATTTGTCCTGCCTCTCGGTGCTCTCAGTCTGGGGGGCGCGGGCCGCCCGGCCCCGCTAAGACGGACCCACACGCCGCGGGCGTCCTGGCAGCCGTTCCGGGGGGAGGCCTCGGGCCCATGGCCGCCCTCCCCGCTCACTCTCCTCGCCGCCAGCCCGGTCGGCTGCTTCGACACCATGAAAAGCGGGGACACCTTGGCAAAGAGGAGTCCGCACCAGACCCCGAGGACACCCACCAGCAGGTTCTGGGGGCGAGGCGATTTCCCGACGGGGCGGGAACGGGGCTCACGGGCCCACTGGCGGGGTCACCTGGGCGGCCTCCCCACCACCAGAGGCCACGCAGCGGAGCCTTTGTTCTCGACAGCAGGCGGCACCCTCTTCAGATAGAACAGAACAGTCACGTGCCCCTCACAAGCCCTAAGAATCACGTCCCCCGAGGGGCGTGCCAGCGCAGGTGCCAGCGCCTCCCTCCCGGCGCGCTGCTGGGCACCGCTCGCCCAGCGCAGGCGGACTTGCCCCGATGCCCACGCTCCCGGGGCAGGGGCGGGCCGGACACGCGGTGTGTGCCCTGGGGCCTCGGTGCTGGCCAGTCCAGGGGACACGCCCCAGCTCCCGGGCCTCCCGGGCCCCACGGAGAGGCGCC